TTGCATGAAATTTGTGAATGTCTAAAAATCAAAGTCCATATTTGAATAAACAATAATCCTTCATTTTTACCTGTAGGCTACCAAACTGACACAAGTCATTCTTATAGCCCGACATTAGTCCTGCCCAGCGTTTAGCTGCATTACAGACGCACAGCTGATCCCAGCTTCCTGTCTCTGCTGTGGGCTCACACTTTCCTCGGCTCTTACTCAGCCACAGAATAAAGAGCTGAGACATGTTAACCACAAAGAAATGGAGCCAATACATAATTCAGAGTGGTTAGTGACCGACCAGGCGTTGCATGCAGGCCGGCAGTGATGGGAAGCTGACTGCACGTCGCCACACAAGCTGTGTGGATTTGAAACTGCTTCATGACGTGAATTCAGAAGTTAATGTACAAATGTGGTGCCCACTGTTCAGCAGCTGATTCAGTGGGACAGCTGTTTACAAGATAATTATTCACATGAAATAATCCCTCAGTTGACTTGGACACAAATAAAAACTTGTTTTTATGGCATCACCACATCCATCCAGCGTGCTGCACGTCCACTGACCTCCATCTTTGATTTTACCACAGGAACAGCTTCTCTGCCTGTTCACGTATGGCGCTAAGAGATTTCGTTTTTTCTCTGAGACTTCAGGAAATAGACGTGAACACTGTGCCCACACAGACGCCACACTCCAAATTCCTCAAATGCTATTTAAAGGACGTGAATGACGTCACACGAGGAAATGTGGCAGGACAGAAAAATAAGAACAGGAAATATTGCTCCGTGCTAAACTTGCTGAACTTTACTGAGACCTCAGTGAGATCTCGCTGCTCATGTCGACATAAACACACGTCTGAGCAGTAAGTAACTGATAAAGAAAAGAAATGTGATGTACTGATGTTTGCTTTGAGAAGAGGACACCATCACATCGTCAGTGTTGCAGTAAAACACCTGAGTGAGCCTCGTTTGTAGCTGTAAGCAATCAGACCAGAAGCACAAAATCCTCCATGTCTTTGTTG